GGGAAAATCTCCAAAGCAGCACTCTGCGCCGAAATTCACGCTGAACAGCAGGATATGGACCTGCACAAAGAACAACACAAGAAAAGAGCGTCAGCACCAGAGTTCGTGTTTCACACTCAACGGCGCTACAACAACAACAACAATCTACAAAACAACCAACGGTACGTCCCACCGTTCTGTCACCTGTGCAAGACGTCCGGACATCCGCGCACACACTGCCCGAATCAGCAGCAGTCGACGTCACCGCAACGTCAACTTCGGCCCTCAAGCAGTCAAGTAGCTTCTACACAGGCGCATCCCACCAATCAAGTACAGTCTTCAACATCATCAACGACAAAACCTGCGCAAGGCACAAGAAACATCGTAAGCTGTATGACAAGAACGACAGACTACTGCATCACTGGATCACCACCGTCCTACTCACCAGAAGAACAACTCGACGAACGCACTCCTCGCCGCGAATCACTGGAGCCCAATCCGACGTACGCAGCCATCACTCAGAGCGAGCCGTCCGCGAAAGACACTTGGTTCCTGGACAGCTACTGCGGACAGCACATGTGCTCCTCGGGTTGCTTCGTTCAACAGGAACATCACCAAGCGCGAAGTTGTAATCACCGTCGCCAACAACCAGAACCTGCACACACGACGACAAGGGATCGTGCAACTTTAGTCTTGAGAAACTAACGTCATTTTACAAATGTCAAAGGTTCTAATCGCAGAAGGACTCGGCTACAACTTACTCAACGTCAGTCAATTAATGGCGAGGGCATTCATCTCGAAGCAGACAACACCACTCAGGAGTTCAAGTTATTCCATGGAAAGGGCGGACTCTACATTGGCAAGGCAGTCTTGAAGAATAACGTCTTCGTTCTTGATTTTGTTCCGGACCAAGGAACCGCAGATAGCAACGCCATCGTCAACTTCGCTTCTTGTACACATCCACCCGATCTCGACCCCGACTTCAGTCCTGGAGGATTTTGGTATTCACATACCATACCTGAAGCAGAACAAACAAGGGCATTAGCAACAATCCGGCAAGAAAAAACAACATCGACAGCAGCAGAGACAACATCGGCAACAGCAGCAACACCCACGGCACCAGTTCTCATCGACGACACTCCACCGACTCTTGCGCAGCAGTTAACTCCCACTCCACGCAAAGTTTACAGAAGCGCCAACCTCACCGCGGGATATTACTCCAACTCCGACCTGTACAGGCGCTCACCAGGACATCGTGCAAGCGAATCACTGTGGCATGAAATATTGGGACATCCAAGCAACACAACGTTAAACAACACGATCAAGGCGGCAGTACTCGACAAAGACTCCTTACTTCTACCCGATGGCAGAGAAGTTCAACGAGTCCGAGGAACCTGTTTTACTTGCCCCGAAGCCGACTTACCTCATCAAGCGTTTATCTCTCACCACAATCCAAGCGCGCCAGCTTACACACCACTGGAGAAAGTATACAGCGGCATCCTGTATACTCGCGAACAAGGACAGGGAGCATATAACTATGTAATTACTTTCATCGACGCCACCACCCGATACGTCTGGCACCTCAACCTTCCAAGTCGCGACATGGCCTTCGAAGCCTTCGTCGCCTGGCTACCTGTGGCAGAACGAGAAGCAGGAGCAAAGCTGAAAAGCTTTCAGTCAGATGGGGGAGGAGAATATCAGTCACAAAGGTTCAAGCAGTACCTCGTAGAACGAGGCATCAAGCGACTCATCTCGCTTCCCTACGCCCATCAACAGCAAGGCGGGGCAGAACGTATGAACAGATGTCTCCATAACACCATGCGCAAACTGTTGCGTGGCATGCGACTACCCAACCACCAGTAGCCTGAGGCGATGGACCACGCTGTCATGCTGCACAACTTGCTCTCGTCATCATCGTTTCCCAAACAACGCATCACCGCACCTGCTGTGGACAGGAAAACAGGGCAACACAAAAATGTTACGAGTTTTTGGGTGCATGGTACATTACCGATCGCACACTGCAAGAGCCGGAAGATTTTCACAACGCGCACAGTGGGGGCTGAACCTGGGCATCGAAAAGCATTACAACGCATGGAAGATTTTCGACGTCCACTCGAAGAAAACAGTAGCAGCACGTGATGTCATTTTCTACGAGCGACTCACACTTCAAACGTACGTGGACAGCCTGGCAGCAAATCGAGACCTCACGGGCGGCTTCCGTGGCAACCGAGCTTTCGCTTCAGCAGCAGTCAAAGCTGACTGGGACGAGCTGAACGTGGACGGAGCTTCGGAGGAAGCCGGACCTCTTCCGTATTGCTCAGTGGACATCCCCATGGACGACGACAACCCTCGCGAAAGTGTCAACGCCGAAACCTACTTCGCCGACACCGGTTACGTTACACCCCAACCGGTCGACACCAACGTCTCCGAACGCATAGGACCCAACTTCCTCCCAGATCCAGAAGCGGGAGATGAAGCAGCTTATCCCGAGGACGCAAATCTCCCCCGCTTCACACAGAGTGGACTGCAGATACTGGGACTCGTCACCGCTGTCCACGGAGAAGTACCACCTAAGGAGCCTGCCAACATTCAGCAGGCTCTAGGGGGGGAACACAAGGAAAAATGGCGCGAAGCCATGGACAGAGAGTTAAAGGCGCTACAAGAACGCAACACCTGGAAAGTCGTGCCTATCGGAGTGGCACGCAACAAGACCATTCTCACGGGAAAGTGATTTTTTTGCGTGAAAACAAAAGCCGACGGAACAATCGACAAATTCAAGGCACGCTGGGTCGTGCTCGGCTTCAACCAAGAGCATGGGCGAGACTTCACGGAAACATTCGCACCAGTTAGTCGACATACCTCAATGCGGATTCTCCTCGCGATAGCCGCCATGAACAGGAAAAAACTTTGACAAATCGACGTCGCCAACGCATTCCTTTACGCCCCTGTCGATGCTGAGATCTTCGTCGAACACCCACATGGGTCTAATGCAGACCCCAACCAAGTTTGTCAGCTGCAAAAGTCGCTGTTCGGAATCAAAAAAGCCCCAAGTCTGTGGCAGCAGCATCTTCACGCCCGCCTAGTCCGCATCGGATTCTGCCAACTACCGCACGACCAAGGGATGTACTGACTCACTAAAGGGACCAACTACATCCTACTCATCGTCTACGTAGACGACCTTCTCTACATAGGCTCCACCGACGATATAACGACCTGGTTTGAAGGGGAGCTGCAGCGGGATCTCACACTCACCGTCGCGACTACCGTGACACAGTACCTGGGACTCAATATACAAGACGGCAACAACGCAATCTACCTCAGCGCCAAAAAATACACGGACACCATCGCTAAACGATTCGGACTTACTCCAGCTACCATCACCACGCCATACCGCTACACCTACGAAAATTGCAAAGTCTCCGCCCTACTCAAACCCGCCGGCATTCGCGACTACCAACGAAAGTTAGGCTGTCTACTCTTTGCAGCCGTTACCTGCAGACCGGATCTATCTTACTCAGCTAGTCAACTCGCCACCTACCTCAAGAAGCCTAAAGCAGAACACATGATGGAGCTCGACCGTGCACTTCACTACCTCGTCAGTACCCCGACGATCGGATTAACCTACCACAAGACCAGAACTACGACACCTAAGTTAATCGGCCACGTCGACGCCGATCACGTTGGAGATTCTGACAACAAGCGATCTCGTACTGGCTACATCTACCGACTCGAACCTATCGGCCCTATCTCATGGCAGTCAAACAAGCAAGAGCTAATCGCTCTCTCCTCAGCCGAAGCAGAATATATCGCACTCTGCTCAGCCACCAAGGAAGGGCTATATCTTCGCGAATTGCTGAGGAAGAAAAATTGGCTCAGTTACCCAGCTTCTCCCTCTTCTGCGACAACCAATCGACCATTCGCATAGCGAACAAAAATGGGTTCGCGAATCGAACGAAGCACATCGCCCTCCGGTACTTCTTTGTAAAAGACAAAATCGAGAAGGGAAGACTCGAGCTATCCTACTGTCCCACATCCGAGATGGGAGCCGATTACTTGACCAAGAAACTCGGAAAACAGAAGTTCGAGTACTGCATGCTGCTGACTTGACAAGGACACGTCATCAGCAGCGACACTCCAGAAGCGAAGGGGAGTGTTGGAATTGGAAACAAGTAATTTAACGCTTCTGAAGTAATCGAAGTATCGACACGAAACGGAGCAGACTACAGCGAAACAACACGCGAGTCAACAACCGTAACAGCTGGAGGTTACGCGAAGGTCAAAGGTCGCTGACCTTTGACTCGACGAAAAATACAGTACGACAGCAAGGACACATAACTGACTCGATACTGAGCAGTTACCCGAGTTGTCACTGTATCGAACCGCAACAGCAGAAAACAGTTAAAGTATAACATTTTCATATTCCTTTGAAATCATATAAAAGCTTTGTATATCTTTGCTATTATTAACTTATCTTGTTCTCACATACTAGTGCAAGGTGGTTCAAGTAAATCTTCATTAACGCTTCCGTAAACTACAACACTCTTACTACAAGAGATCTTAGCCTTGAAAAATATCCTAAGGGCTATTTCTCAGCCCAACAAAACCGAGTCGCTGTGCTGGGTGTGTGACATGACTGAATCGAGTTTAGAGCGACCAACCAATTTGCTACGCATGCTGGATGAATTCTTTTTTTGAAAGCTCTGTAAACAAAATGTTTGATGTAGAAGAGTGATTGAAATACAACTGTACAAAGAACTTTCCTCTAGGATTAAACAGAAGAATTGTATAGTAGGGCTGGAACATAGGGAACCTAGACTGAGATTGGGCCAACACATGTTTGCAAAGACGGCAACCTGCATTAGGTACTCAGAATTATGTGTATGTCTTGCAATTGAGCCCAGTAAGGAAAAGTATTTGCACAAAAGGCAAACTATATATTCACACTCCAACACGGAACATAAATGTATGCAAAGCAAAACCTTTGCAGAAGCAAAAACGTTTCTTACAAACCCACATCCATATCAAACCTTGGGAGGCTTCACATGGCGCACAACTGACCCTGCCCCCTCTTTAGTCACAAGCACAGCAAACATGTCAACCTTCTCCACGTCCTCTGTGCTCACAAACGCATAGTCAAACCACCCACGCCTGTCCGTGTACCCATCCTTGTAAAACACCGCCCCACCCCTCTCTTCCCCTGCACTGCCACTAAAAAGGTAAGAAACCCCTCTTGACTTCGGGCGGAAGAAAACTTTCACATATGCCCCGGGCAGTGGCACCAAAGTTCCCTGAGCTGACTTCAACCTGTCCACCACTGCTCCTGCTTTCCCATTACCCGAAGTCCCATCAACAGGTGCTGAGGTGGGTGTGGGAATGTGGCGAAGCACTCTCAGCTGACCCAACCTCTCCACCACCTCTACCACAAGAGACTCATGCACCGGCCTGTGGAGGGGAGATGGGGAGAGAGGGGGCGTGAGGGGATTACATGGGTCGCAATCATGGGAACCTGGGGTGAGAGAATGAGGTGAGAGCATGTGGCAGATGAGGAGAACACAGTGTACAAGAAGAGCAGTGAGGGCAGAGAGGGAAAAAAGGGCCATTATTTGAGTGAGGACAAGCATGAGCAAGTGAGAGAGCACCTGAGGAGAGTGGTGGTGAGAGCACCCGAGGAGACAGTTATGAGTACTGCCTCTGAATCAAACTCCGATGGCAGCTGCACCACCAAGCTGCCGCTACTGCCGCTGCTGCCGCTGCTGCCACTGCCGCTGCCTGCAAGCACAGCTGCACCACCAGCGACACTGCTGCGATCATCAGTGCTGACAACTGTGGACCAATTCGGAGCCACGAAGATGGACGAGGGCCCACCCACCCCATTACCACCCTCTCCTGCCTCTCCTCCACTCCTCCCATCCCCAGCACCGGTGCCACCCTTCACACTGGCCCTGCTCCCTGCACCACCACCAGCTGTGGCTGCACCCGAGAGCAGGGAGAAGGGCGAGCAGGAGAAGAAGGTCTCGGCATCGAACGCAAACACGTCCACCTGGATGCTCCCCACGTTCGCATACCGCACCCCCACCACCGCCGCTGCTGCTGCTGATGCGGCTGCGGCTGTGACTGTACCCGGCGTGACTGTACCAAGTTCAGTGCCGGCTGTGGCAGCAGCAGAAGAGCGGGGCAGCAGCTTGGCTTCAAGGAAGGGCTCCTGGGAGGGTTTCGGCCCCGAGCTCCTCTTCAGGGAAAATGGGTCCACTGCCGTCCCGTCCCCCTCCGCCGCCTCCGCCAGCTGTGCCACGTCAGCCATGTCCTCGTCAGCAGAAACTCTGCCTTCACCCGCTGCTGCCGCTCCTGCTGCTGCTGCTGCTGCTGCTGCTTCTCCTGCTGCTCCTGCTTCTCCTCCTGCTCCACTTCCTCCTCCTCCGCCTCCAACTGCCACTGCCATGGGTTGACTGCCTGTGAGCACCCACTCATCGTCCTCCTCCCACTCCCATGCATCTCCACCCCCACCAACCCCCTCTCCTCCTCCACCTCCTCTTCCTCCCGGTCCCTTATGGCTCTGCGCCTGTCCTTCCACCCCAGCCACTCCATGCCCCTCCACACCACCCTGCACAATGATATGCCCCCCTGCCCCGGCAGCCCGGGCAGCTCGGGCAGCCATCCAAATTTCATACACCTGCTTGCCCAGGTCAGCAAAGCGCTTTCTCCAGGAAACCACTGGGCAGCTTCCTCCGCTGCTGCCCCCGTTCCTGTCCACAGCGCGGTATTTTTTCGCAACTGCCCGGGCGACCACGGGCAGGCGGTCGGTCGGGCAGAGGAGAATGTCGAGAAAAGCAGCCATGTAATCAGCTGCCAGCTGCACATTCACTGTAGTGGGGATGTCAGTAAAGGGGACAGCGCTGCTACTGGTGCTGCTGGTATTGGTACCAACACCAGAAGCAGCAGAATTCTCGCCACCCTCAGCACCCTCAGCAGGAGCCGCAGCACCAGCCCCCACAGGAGCACCACTCCCGTTCCCACCGCACAGCGCTGCCCGCCACGTGTCGGCCAGGGTGAAAATCTTTCCGGAGGCTGCCCGGAGGAACATGAGGTGGGCCTCTTTGACCCGATCTTGAACCAGCAGGTAGTATGCCGCTGCAAGGCACTCCTGAGCGCTCATCCCGCCCTTCCTCCTCGCACACAGCTCCAGGAACCGACTGTAGTGCTCCAACAGCTGCTCGTTCCATATGTCGTTCACCCCCGGTTCCTCCTCCCACCCTCCCTCCTCACTCCCATACACCCCCTCTCTCCCCTCTTTCCCCTCTCCCTCGCTTTCGCCCCCGACCCTCTTCTCTCTCCTCCTCCCTTCCCTGTCCGAACCACTCATTCCGAACCTGTGCGCCCGGGGATTCAGCAATGGCAGGAACTCCTCATGCTCGTACACCGAACCTAGCCCCAAGCCTACCCCCGAACCTATCCCTGAGCCTAGCACACCGGCGCTCCCATTCAGCCGGTACCGAAACGACAGCCGCGCCCCTACCGCACCCGGCTCGATATGCAGCAGAGAGGAGAGGAGAACCGGGGAAGAGAGCCGAGCAAGGAAGGCCGGTTCATAAGCCAAGTACTCAGACATCCCCCGAGGGTCCTGGTGCAGGAGCGAGCACTGCCAGATAGACCGATGGAAGAGCTTTCGACGGCGGAGTAGGGAGGTGACCGAGTGGTAGAGAGGGGCATGAGGCATGAGTGGGAGGAGGAGGGCAAGGTCCAGGGAGCGCAGGGAGGGGCCTTGCAGCATGCGGAGGATGTCCGGCTCACTGCCCGACAGGCAGATCACCTCCCATAGCTCTGCCCTCTGCGCTGCCTCCTCTGCTGCTGACAGTGACTTGCCTCCCACTTGCTGCCTCTGCCTGTCTGCTGCTGCTGCTGATGATGATTCTGCCTGCAGGTGCTGCTGGAGGAGGGATTCGCGTCTTTCCCTCTCCATCTTCTCGTATTCGGATGATGAGAGGACGGGGATGGATGCGGGTACCCCTGCTGCTACTGCCACCACCCCAACGTCTGCCCCGCCCTCCTCCTCCCTTGCCCCTCCCTCTCCCCCGCCCCCTCCCCCTGACCCAGCTTCAGGCAGCAGGTGCGCAGGGAAGAGCGAGAAGCTTCCAGGAAAGGGGAAGTAGAAGAGGGCAGTGAAGACTCGCTTTTGGAACGGCTGCAGCGGCGGCAGGCGCAGCCTCTGGGTGGGGCGGCCGAGAGGGGAAATAGGCACGGAACCCTGGGGAACTTGGAATAATAGCAGCAGTGGGGGGAGCGGGGCGGATTGGAGATTAACTACGACTATTTGAAGGAGGTAGCAGATGCCAGTGCGGTATGGAGGGGTGGAGGGGAGCGAGGAGGGGTGGATGGATGGGGTGGTGGATAGGGAGGAGTGGAAGAGCGGGAAGGGGGGGGAGGAGGAGAGGAGGGAGGAGTGGGGGGTGAAGGGGGAGGAGGAAGAGGGAGGGGCGAGGAGAGTGTGGATGGATTGGGAGAGGAGAATGGAGGGGATGCCAGGAGCGAGGGAGGGGAGGAGCGGGAATGGAGGAGCCTTTGCCTCTGTTGCTGCTTCAGTTGCTGCTGTTGCTGCAGCACCACTCCCCACCTCACACAACTCCTGCTTGTACACCACCATGGGGGATGCAGGTGTGATTGTAACCGACGTGCCTCTAAAAGAGAACCCATGCTCCTCCCCCTCCACTGCACCAGCCGGCCCACCTCCCCTACCCGCCCTCCCCCCAGTCTCTTCGTTATTAACCTCCTCGTTATAAGCACCTGCATGCCTGATCTTGCCGCCGAAGTGGAGGCCGAGAATGGAAAGAGCAGAGAGAGCAGCGGTGGAGGAGGAAGCCACATCGTGCAAAGATGCAGGGACGAAGGGAGGGAGGGAGAGAGCAAAGGAGCAGAGCGACGCAGACGGGGAGGTGCTTCCTGCAGCAACATTGACTGCAGGTTCAGGTGCCGCGGCTGCGGCTTTGGCAGTAGGTGCGGCAGCAGCTCCGGCAGCAGCTTCGGCAGAAGCGAGGATGTGGCGCATGAAGTCGACCCAGAAGGGCGAGGAGGGGACGAGGTCCGGGGTCTGCTCGCTCAGTGCGCGCTTGAAGTAATGCGTCTCGGCGTAGCGCTTCGTGACGTCCACCTTGTGGGGGCGCTGGTAGGAGAGGAGAGAAGTGAGGGGAAGCAGGAGAATGAAAGAGGACAGTGGCAGGATAGGTCAAATAGTGCCTCTCGGCGTAGCGTTTGATGACGTCCACCTTGTGAGGGCGCTGCATTGGGTGGGAGCGGAGAGAAGAGAACGAAAGGAAGAAGCAGCAGAAGAACAAGAAGAAGAAACACTCTAGCTGGTTTCTGAGAGTTCCAAAAACAAAAGAGAGAGAGGAAAATAGCTTAAGCAAGAAAACAGAAGAGGGAAATGGCAAAGGGAGTGATCGCATGCTGGTTGCAGGACCAAATCAAGGGCCAGAGTGAAAACGGTAGTACCCATACTCTCACCTCTTGCATTGGCAGAAGAGGGCAACAAGATACCCCCCCCACAGCCTCTATACTCTCTTCGGTGCAGAGAACGTGACAGATTGACAACGGTAGAACCTGTGCTCTCACCTGCTGCGTTAATGGAATGGGCAGAGCCTCCTCTGTTTCCCCAGCTGCTGCAGCACCGAAGGAGGGGCCGGAGTCAAAGCGCTGGTACTCGCCCGGTGTGCCCATGGTGGCGAAACAAGACGCGCAGAGATCGTAGTCGTCACGGCTGAAGGGGGGGTGTGGGGGGGTTTGGGAAATTTGTGGGGAGATGGTAATTGAGAAAGGGAAAGGTTTGGCAGCATTGATACTCGCCCGGTGTGTGCGTGGTGGCAGGGCAGGACTCACAGAGATCGTAGCCGTCAAGAATGGTGGGGGGAAGAGGGGGTGGGTTACGGAGAAACGGGTATGAGCAAGGGGTGCGGATGAGGTCAAATTTGCTTCCAGTTTCCCTTCAGAATTCTTGAATAATGCTTACAATGAGAAAACAAACAGGGAGACAGACAATATAACACCTTATATAGCACCCGTTGTACTGAACTTATAGCACTCGTTGTCATTTCCTGCCTATATTAATGAAGGACCATTTGGACAAGACAAGCAGCAACATATAGCGCTCTAGAGCTGCGGGAGGACGTATGGCGATCATCTGTACCATAGGATCCGGAGAGAGGAGAATAGGGGTGCAATGCGCTCTGATCTGAGCAGAGAGCGAGGCAGAGAGGCAAATGAGAGGGATGCAAACAGACAAGGGGTAGCATGGTTCCATGTTTCCTGATCTAAGCAGAGGGGGGGGCAGCAGAAATGAAGCAGAGAGGGAGCAGAGAGAGAGCAGAGAGAGAGCAGAGAGGCAGCAGAGAGAGACGAGACATACACAAGGGAGCGGTAACAAGGTCCCCTGATTGGGTTAGTGCCACAGCCATCGCAGCTGAAGTGCAGCCGCCATGGATGGTGTGGCGAGGTGAGACAAGGTAAGGCAGAAGCGAGGGAGCAGAGAGGCACCAGAGAGGAACATGACACACAAGAGTGCGATAGCAGAGAGGCACATACACAAGAGAGCGGTAGCGGGGTCCCCTGATTGGGTTGGTGCCACAGCCGTCGCAGCTAAAGTGCAGTCCCCCTGCTGCTCCTCCCCCTCCCCCTCCTGGTGCTGCTGACAGGGCCTGCATCTGAGGCTGTAGGGAGATGGGCAGAGAGAGAAAACAAGAAAGAAAACAAGATAGAACAACAGAGGAAACAAGAGGGGAAAGTCTGGGATATTTGCACCCAGCCACCAATAATCAACCGCCTTCTACCACCTACGTACGGCCTACCCCTTCCCGTACCTTGCTCCGTTTCTTCTTCCCTTCCTCTTCTTCCAACAACAAATCTCCATCACCATCGACTGTACAAGCATCCTCATAACCCCCCTCCTCTCCCTCCTTCAAACCCTCATCAGTCAATTCCATCTCTTCCTCATCCTCATCACTGTCCTCTTCTTCCTCCTCCTCCCCATCGCCTTCCTCCTCTCCAGAGGACTGCACACAGTTAAGGCATCACCACGGCAGCAGGAGGAGCAGCAGCAGCAACAGCAGCAGGAGCAGGAGGAGAAGGAGGAGCAGGAGCAGGGAGAGCAGCAGAAGCAGGCGGAGCAGGAGGAGCAGCAGCAGCAGGAGGAGGAGGAGGAGCAGGAGGAGCAATAGGAGGAGCAGCAGGAGGAGCAGTGGCAGCAGGTGCAGCAGGAACAGCACGAGCAGGAGCAAAGGGAGCAGGAGGGGCAGGAGCAGCAGGAGGAGCAGGAGGATGAGCAGCGAGAGACAGTGTTAGGATAGCTTCCCACCTAGCCCGCTGCAGTACCGCACACCACCACTCTGTCTCTTCAAAGCCACGCTCCCACCTCACCTCCCTGACATGGCCCCTGCTAGACGCGCCTACAACAACATCGATAATCCTTTTAGACGCGCTTAGATCTACATATGTAGCAGCTAAAGAACATCGATAGCGTCAACACCGCGCCTGGCATGACGTCACCTCCACTCAACGGATGCCTCGTACACAGCCCCAAGCTATGTCTCACAACGTTTCACATCGTCCCATACCATCTCACATTGTCCCACATCTTCTCACATCTTTTCAAATCACCTCACATCGTCTCACATCATCTCACATCATCTCACATTGTCCCACATCTTCTCACATCGTCTCAAATCTTTTCACATTGTCTCACATCTTCTCACATTGCCTCACATCTGCCATACGGCCTCTAACCCAGCATCGTTAATGCCTCACCTCCCCAGGCGCACCATATGTTGTGCCCAGGCAGGAATCGCAGGAGCGGGAGGGGAGGAGGAGGGGGGATGAGCAATCCACATGTCACATTGAGCCGCCTAAGTTAACATCCAAAACTGACCAGTCCAAAACAGGTTCTTTGGTGCCTCACCTGCTCAGATGATTCGCCATCAAAGCTAAAGGCAGCAGCAGCAGGGCGGGGAGGAGGGGGGGGCGGCCCCCCAAAGCCCCCAAAAGAGGCAGCTGAGGTAGGGGGAGGAGGAGGAGCGCCTTTGGGGGCAGAGACGGGTTGCGGTGCAGGTTCGGCGGCAGGCTTGGCAGGAGGCTCGGCGAGAGGTGCGGCGCGGGGGCGGAGGTCAGAGCGGCTGGCGAGGGCAGTGGTAAAGCGACGGTAGGAGGCTGCTGCTGCCTGTGCTGCTAGTGCTGGTGTGGGTGGTGCTGCCAGCGTGACTAGATCGTCCAGGACTGAATGGGGAGGAAGGGGGAAGAAGGGGGGAAGAAAGGGGAGAAGGCTCATGGTGAGTGGCTGGCGAGGGCCATGGTGAAGCGACGGTAGGAGGCAGCAGTTGCCTGTTGTGCTAGTGCTGGTGTGGGTGGTTCTGCCAGGGTGATTAGATCGTCCAAGACTGAATGGGGAAAGGGGATGAGGGAATGAAAAGGGTAGAGGGGAAGGGGAGAAAGGGGGTAAAGGGGAGAAGGGAGGGGGATAAGGGGTAGAAAGCAGGGGAGAAGGAGCAAACGGAGCACCACTCGCATGGCATACCTTCAGAGGGATGGATGATGTGGGACTGATAGGGCCAGTCCAGAGGTCGCTGCCCCCTGTGTTGCAGCAGCATGTGGAAGCACACTGCCAGCCCCAGCAGACACCTCTCGAGGGCGTTGAGATTGAGATACGCTGGCAGGGCGCAGAAGGACAGCACCTGGTGGTGGTGGGTGTGGGGGGAGGAGTAAGGAAAGGTGAGGTGCGTTACGGTCGGAGTAAGAAAGAGGAGGAATGCGGGGGTGTAGGAGACAGGCGCATTGGTGGCGGACATAGTGGCATGAGGCACCAAGCAAGCATACAGCATCGCATCACATCGGCCCTTCTGAGGCTCACACTGGATCAAACTACCCCCACCCATTTGACCACATTGTGCCAGCCACCACATCTGACCGTATCCAACCGCAACAGACCGCATCGAACCGTTCCAAACCGCATCTCACCCCGTCAAGGTCGCCCAGCAGCCAGAGGTCGAGGAAGGAGCGGTCGAGCTTGGAGGCAATGGCAGGGAGCACTGCACAGTGGGGGGCAAGAAGGGGGGAGGGCGGGGGGAGGAAAAAGGAAAGGGAAGGCGGGGGTTTGGAGAGCGGTTGGGAGGATACCAGTAAGTGGAAGGCAAGGGTAGGTCAAAATGTGGTGTGAGGTGACGGAGAGGTTAGTAACGACCGTGTTGTTGCGAGGTGATGGACTGGTTGGGGGCCCCGGAGCAGAGATACTAAACGTGATGGAAGTAGCAGGTGGAGTAAGTAGCAAAGTAAAGAGGAATAGCCCAGAAAAGCCAGCACGTAGTACCCACCGCGTCTAAGAAAGAACGCTTTGTCGTGGAAAATGAGGGACAGATGGAGTGCTTATCAGCAGAACAGTGATGGCAATAAAAAACTAGCAGTGACCACTAAGTACTGTGTTTCAGAAAGAAGGTGTGGTCCTGAAAGAAGGCGTGGTCCTGAAAGAAGAGGAAGAGGTGCAGCTCATGGCAGGAGCACTATGACCATTAAAATAACAGGCGTACCATGTTTAGCAAAGAAGGCATGGTCATGGAAGAAGAGGAAGAGGTGCAGCTCGTGCGAGCCGAAGCGCTGCAGCTTGTCCACTTTGCCGCCCGCTGCCATGCCCGGCCACTGTAGCAGGAACGCCAGCTGCTGCCACGTGTCGCGCTCTGATGGGCTGATGAAGCTGGCCAATAGGCCGTGAGCTCGCTCGATGGAGTCGAATATCTGAGAGGATTAGATGAAGGGGGGAAGCGGAGGGAGGAGCGGTGGAGTGCGGTGAGAACTGGTGCTGGGTGGAATGGAGAACATGGAGAAGAGGAAAGGAGTGGAGGAAGCAAGGATGACATTCCATAGGAGGAGCAGCAAGAGCTGTGGTAAATGTCATCATTGCATAAGCAACAAGATTAACAACCACCACCAATGACTCACCGCCACCTGTGCCATTCCCACGTCAGCAATGCGGTGCACCTCTCCCCTCCTCCAAACCTCCACCGCCCTCCTCTCGTGGTAATGCTTAGCTGGATCCAACGCCTCCTGTACCACCCACTCCCTCCCCTTCTCTTCCCTCCCCCTCTCCTCCCTCCCCTTCTCACCCTCAGTCCCCTCCTCCCCCCACGCCTCCTCCGGAACGAGCAAATCACAGCGCGCCACCTGGCAACCCCACGCACTTTCCCCCGAATCCACAGCCACGACAGTCAATGACAGGCTGCCACGTGGCAGGGTGGATCTCGGCACTGCAACCCACCAATCCTTCCCCCCTTCATCCCCCTCCTCTCCACCCCTTCCTCTCTCAGACCTGACAAAAGGCCTGAGATTGGAAATGAGAGTGGGCGGCGTGGCAAACAGCGGGGCGTGCTTGGGAGGGGGACCTGACTGGTACGAGGCCGAATATCCAACACCCCCACTGTAGCCATGCATCCTCCCTCGCCCCCCACCAAATGCAGCGAAACATGCGGTTGCTTGCGGTGCACACATGGAGTCATACTCCATCCGACTTGCCCGAAGGGCCGACCCTCTGCCCCCCTGCTGCTGCATCATCACCCCCAGTAGCTGCTTCTTCTTGGCTGTGGGGTCGGAGTGGAGTTGGCGTGGAGGGGGAGGGGCGCGCTTGCTGGTGCTGGCAGCGGTGACACGAGGGTGGATGAGGAGGGAGGGCAGCGGCAGTAGGTGCCCCACCCGTTCCTTCTCTCCATTAGCAGTGGTGAGGGCCTTCTGACGGTTCTGCACGTAGCTGGGAAGAGCGAAAATGATGGAAAGGAAAGGGGTGATGCGTGGGTGGGAATATTAAGGGTTCTCGTATTATGTGCTTCCAAAATCGTATTCACCACCATTTCTCCTATTGTTGGCAGCACAAGAAGCGAAAGTTTGTCGTTCGAGTTGCTTACTTCAAGATTTACAGAAAAAATCACAGACGTGCTGCCTCCTCCTGACAAAGAGAGGCACGGCAATGTGGGTATGTCAACGTGGCACATGCCCCACGTTGCCATGCTTCGCTTTGCCAGGAAGAGCCAGCAGGTCTGTGATCTTGTTGTTGTAAATCTCGAAGTAAGAAACTGGAACGACAAGCTTTCGCTTCTTCTGCTGCCATCGACAGGAGAAAGAGTGGTTATGATTTTGGGAAACGATTTTGGAATCACATAAGAAAGGTCCCCTACCTGCTCAGTGACTATGGTGGTGGTGCTTACTGCTGTAAGGCAGCTCTGCACACAGTTGGAAATGTTTATGCGATTCGTAACAATCCTAGGAAATGACCAAAGCATAGCCGACTTTTGATTTCCTCAGTTATTTAAATGGGGTTGGTGCTTACGCCATCTGGAAGCTCTACACATAGCTGGAAAAGAGGAAAGGGGAGGGCACGAAAAGAGGCAGGTTCCATTCACCACCCTTCTACTGTCACACTCATCCTCTCTTGTACACTCACATCATTTCTTCATCCATCGGTTCCTTCTCGTCATACTCACTCACAACCTTTTAACAAAGTATCAAACAAGAACCCCCTTCCCACTCACAACCTTTTAACAAAGTATCAAACAAGAACCCCCTTCCCACTCACAACCTTTTAACAAAGTATCAAACAAGAACCCCCTTCCCACTCACAACCTTTTAACAAAGTATCAAACAAGAACCCCCTTCCCACTCACAACCTTTTAACAAAGCATCGAACAAGAACCCCCTTCCCACTCACATAATTTCTTCATCCATGAACTGCTTCTCGCCATATTCACTCTCCACCTCCTCCAACCCCACCCTCCCCTCCTCCCCTCCTTCCCCTCCCCACCCGCCTCCCCTCCACACTCCCTCCACCCCCTCCTCCTCCTCCCCGCCTCCCCCCCCAAACACACTCAACTCAAACCCAGGCACAGCCTTGGCCACCATGCCTTGCCGCACCACCACATGCACGCGTGTGCTCGCGCCACACCCCCCAAGCTTCACCCACAGAACCTTACTCCCATCTCTTCCGCCTGCAATCCCTCCTCCGCCTCCTCCTCTCCCGCCCGGCACCACTCCACTCCCACCAACAGCAGCAGCACAGATGGTGAGCGGGCTCTTGGGCGGCAGTTTCCGAAGTTCTTTGCGTGCCAAGTCAACGGCCCAGCCGGGGCAGGGGAGAGAGGCGAGGGTAGATGCAGGAGTGGGGTGCGTGGAAGAGGATGGGGGAGGGTGGGCGGAGGAGGAAGGGGGAGGAGGCAGGACGCGGATGGAGATGGTTTCGTTGTCCCATGGGAGGAATAGAGAGTAGTCGCCTGGTGGCACTGTGAGTAGCTCCAGATAGCCCTGTTGAATGGGGGTAGGAGGGAAAGAAAAGAAAGCAAGGGGGAACGGGAAGGACGTTGACAGAAACGGTTAGGATGTCTTATGGGGGGAAGAGGGAGTAGTCGCCTGGCGGCACTGTGAGTAGCTCCAGATAGCTCTGCTTGGGGCAGAACGAGCAGAGAGAGATGGCGGAAGGTGGAGGTAGGGCGGAGAGAAAGCAAGGGGGAATGGGAAGGACGTTGACAGAAACGGTTAGGTTGTTTCATGGTAGGAAGAGAGAGAAGTCCCCTAGTGGCACAGTGAGTAACTCCAGATAGCCCTGTTGGACAGTGGAAGGATGGAGGGAAGGGCAGGGAAGCGATGCAAAGGAAAGCGAGAATAGAAGGCACGAGGATCGGGAAGAGATGTGTATCGATGTTTTGTCCCATGGGAGGAAGAGAGGGTAGTCCCCTCCCCTGGTGGCACCGTCAATAACTCCAGACCGTCTTGTTTAATGGCAGGACGGGCAAAGAGAGATGGGAGGTAGACAAAGGAGAAAACAAAGGAGAAAATGATGGAAAAGGGATAAAAACTGTAAGAAACTATCGAAGAATGCGGAAGGTATTTGAGAAAGCTGGGAAGGTGGAAACAGCGGCACCCTCTCTCGCTCACCTCTCTCATCCGCAGTCGCTGCGTGCAGTCCGCCAGGAACACTCTCTCGACTGTGTATTCCCATGCAGCAGCCACGCGGAACAGACACGGGGAGACTGGTCGGGCAGCAGCAGCAGCGCCAGATGTCTCACCAGCAGAAGCAGAACCACCGTCAGCAGAACCATAAGCACCATCCCCACCATTGCCAGCAGCAGCAGCAGCAGCAGCAGCAGCGGCAGCGGCAGCATCATGGGAGACATAAGGCAGTCGCAGAATCACTTGATCCGAGCCTGGTGAGGCACCATCTCCACCAGCACCAGCAGCACCAGCAGCACTGGCATCACCGTCAGCCCTCTCCTCCCCGCCCACCACCACCACGTGAGACGGCAGCTTCCCTGCCGGACTTCCACCCACACTGCCACGTGGACCAATCAGAGCAAGCCGAGGTGCACACACGTGCCACACGTGTTCCCACTCCTCCTTCATCCCCCCCATCCACTCCTCCCCTTCCTCATCCCCATCACCTTCCCCGCCCCTCCACTCTCTCCATTTCCCCAAGCCTGCCCCATCCCCTCTAGCTCCCCCTCCCCCTTGTTCCTTCCCCTTCCCCTCTCCGCCCCACTCTTCCACCCTCCTCGCCCCAACCCTCTCCACCCCTTCCAGCCACCCCAGATACACACACCCTTCATCGTCGCTTCTCATCACGACACCTGGCGACCATTCATTGGCCAGCCGGTGCCGCAGCCGCACCACCACCCGCCTCCCCTCTTTCCCCTCCCCCGCTTCCCCAACCACACGCAACACATACCCCCCCACGCCCTCCTTCCCCTGTCCTCCCCCTTTCCCTTCCCCCATCCCTTCCTCTCCCCCACCCCTTATTTCCAGAAACAAAGACTCCACTTCGACTGGCCTCTGTTTTTTCCCCCCATCCCCCCCCTCCGCTCCCCCTACTTCCCCCAGGACCATTCCCCCTCTGCCCCCTGCCCCTCCCCCTTCTCCACTCCCCTCCCACGCGCTCCCATTCGCTGCCGCCCTTCCCCCAGGCTCAAACGGCGCCAGCACCTTCCAGGAAGCTTCTGCATCCAGCGACTTCTCCTGCCCACCCTTGCTCTGCAACACCACTGTTCCCCGGAGGACCACTTCCAGACAAACTGCACCGTCCGGGACTTTTGTCCTGTGTGTTAACTCCGAATCCGGCCGGAGGGAGAGGTTGGGAATGCGAACGGTCACATCCTGGCCTTCCAGAAGCTTCCACGAAACAACGAGCTCAGGGGAGCGCAGGAGCGAGAGGGGGGCGGCTGGGAGAGAGGAGGAGGAGTGTGAGGGAGAAGGCGAGAGAGTGAGGGAGGGGCGGAGGAGGATGGTGACGTCAGCAGAGGGGCGGAGGAAGGGTTGATCGAGCCAGGCGTGCAAGTTCAGGTTGTAGCTGGGGGAGGTGGGAGGAGGGGGAGGGGAGAAGGGGGGAGGGAGGGAGGGGGGGGAATAAAAGCGGGAGGAGAAGAATGGGGAAAGGGTGAGGGGTGGCGGAAATGGGGGAAGGTTGGGTTGGGAAAAGGCAGAAGGGTGTGAAAAGAAGCGAGGACTGAGGAGGTTCAGAACAGAGGGGGTAAACGTGCAGATGGGGGAAAGAAGGTGAAAAGGAGAAACGCAGGGAAGTGCACTGTTTACCCCCTTCGCTCACCTCTCTTCAGGCGCTTTAAGTAGCAACACTATCCCTACCTCTTTTATCCTCACTTCTCTCAGGGCACTTGTTAAAATGCTCCCACCCACCACAGCCAGGCACCTGGCCGGCCATGTCAAAGAGCACACACTGCACACTCTCAGAGCAACCAGCACTGGCTAATGCTGGCACGTGTGAAAGGCACAGCAGGGCATCCCTCCCACCCCACCCTCGCCTCACCTCTCTTGAGGCACCTCAATCGGTGACCCCACAGAAGTCATCAAAGAGCACGGGAGAGCACTGCCTGCTGCTGGCAGTGAAGGGAAGCACCACCTTCCCTTTCCTCCCTCTACTCACCATTCTTCTGGAACTTGCACGGATGCACCCACAGCAGCCAGGCACCCATCAAAGAGCACCGGAGAGCACTGCCTGCTGCTGGCAGTGAAGGGGAGAACCACCTCTCCACCGCTCCCAACCGCATACTCCACCCCCTCCACCCACACACTCGCCGCCCGGCCTCCCAGCACTCCCTTCTGAACGCTCGTCCCAACCAGCAAACTCGGCTCCCCCCCATCCGAGCCTTGGTCCGGACCTCCACCCGAGGCTGCAGCCGAGCCTCCATCCGAGCCTCCATCCGAGCCTCCATTCGAGCCTCCAGTTGCAGTAGTGGGCAGCACGAGAGTGCCGTCTTCGTTGAGCATTCGGATGGCAAGGCCGCGAGGGGTGAGGGTGGCCGTGTGGCTGATTGCAGTGGGGGAAGAAGGGGTGTGAAGAGGGGCTAAGACACTGACTGAGTGAGAATGCGAACAGCATGGCTGCGAGGGTGAGGTGGACGTGTTGCTGGGTGGATTGGGGGAAAAGGGAGTGTGATGAAGGGGTGTGAAAGAATGTGAAAGGGTGTGAAGAGGGGTTAGGGTGTCAAGTGAGAGCACGAGAGTGCTGTCTTCGTTGGGCATGCGAATGGCAAGGCCGCGAGGGTGAGGGTGGACGTGTGGCTGATTGGAGTGGGGTGCGTAAGAGGGGGTGTGAAGGGGCGTGAAGGGGTGTAAAACGGTGTGAAGAGGGGTTAAGACAGCAACTGAGAGCACGAGAACGTCGTCGTCATTGACCATGCGGATGCAGAGGCCGCGAGGGGTGAGGGTGGACGTGATGGGCCAGGCGTGCAGTGCGCACTTTGATTCGCCTCAAAATCGTGGGGAAGAGACGACTTTCGAGGTGCCTTAGAATTGCCCTTTTCCACTCATAGCCCACGCGCTCACACAACATAATCGACACACGGATCGCCACATACACGACACAAGGCTCGAAACATGTGCATTCCTCATGTGCACGATAATCTGTCGCACATTTGCATCCACTCACACTAGATTGCCCTTTCGAATAATCGCCCGCGCACACAGCCCGCCGCCCTCCAGCTGCACTACAAACACGCCCCGCCGCCCAGCCAGCTGTGGGAGATCCACACTCAGGATTCGCTTTACAAGGGAGAAGGGGCGAGAGGGGGCGGCGGAGGAGGAGGGGGTGGTGGTAGTAGTAGTGGTGGTGGTGGGGAGGGGAATTTGTCGTTCCTGTTCCTGCTGCTGCATATGACTCTCTTGCTGATACCTGTTACAACAACGAAGAACGAATAAGGGGGAGCAAGTCGGCGAGAAGACAGGGAGGAAAACTGGGAAAACTTTGAAAGAGTGTGCAGGACGAAAGGACGAGAAGATGGATAAGACAAGGGAGGGTGTCGGATTTCGACATCAAGAAGGTTGAACAACGAAGTCTGACATTAGAAACTGATAACTCCAGATGTGAAAAAAGAGACGAAATAAATAAAGAAGGAAAAGAAAGAAATAAAAAGGAAAGAGGAAGCATACCATGGTTTGAGGCCATGCAGTGACCCCAGGTTGGAGAATTCGGTGTCAAGCGGCGAGGAGAGCAGATAGCGCAGCGAGTCCACCTCGAATAGCTTCACCTGCAGCGCGTGGGGAAGAGAGGCGGAGAGGTGAGCATGGAGAATCTGCATGTGGCGAACAGGAGTGAGATACAGGAAGCGAGAGAGAAAGACGAAAGGACGATGGGGAAGAGGAGAAAGTGGGCGAGAAGCAAAAGGAATAAGGAGAACTCTCAGGCACCATACGATAGGAAATGCATCTCACAATTGGGAGACCACAGGTCGGACAGCACACCTTACAACCTACAGCTCATTGCAGTATGTATGCAAGACCAACAAACACTGCGTTCCCTTTTACAAGCTCCAGCTTACACGCACCTCGAAGCAGCCTATAACGAGGACAGCAGCTTACAGCGAGTACAGGCACGTTCTTGACAATCACGTCCAGATGCACCGGATCCGCCGCCCGCCACACCCGTCGGTTGTGGCCGGCAAAGTCCAGCTGGCAGCGCCCCGTCAGCTCACCCAACGCGCTGCTGCCAGCCGTCAGGTTGTCGGGCGCGTGCTGGCGCTGATAGGACGTGAGATAGAGGTGCACCCAGCTGTGGAGGGGACGGGTCACGGGGGTGGAGGGAAGGGGGAAAAGGAGGGGGGAGGGGGAAGGGGGAAGGGGGAAGGGGGAAGGGGGGAGTTGAGGGCGAGCGAAGTGACATGATGCTGATAGGACGTGAGATAGAGGTGCATCCAGGGCAGAAGATGAGTGGGAATGAGGAGGGGTGAGAGGAAGTATGAGCTTGTTAGGGGGGGTTGGGTTTGCGGTGTGTAAAGATTGCATCTCGCATTTCTCATCACCTAGTCAAGCAATTCAAGCAAGTCAAGGGGGTTGTGCTAGCAGCAAACAGCGACTGGAATGAGACTCACATGGGGTAGTAGGGGTCATCCGCGCAGCACAGGCTGCTCTCAGCCAAGAGCAGCTAAAAGGGGGCATTCCCACGGCACAGGAATAGCAATCAGCGGACAGAGACGTGAGGGAAGCATGGAGAGACGAGAGACTCACACAGGGTAGAAGGGGTCGTCTCCGCAGCACAGCCTGCTCTCAGCCAATAGCAGCGCCACGTAGCTCCAGTCCAGCTTGCCCTGCCCAATCAGAGGCTGCCACGTGTGCATGGCCCTCTCCACCAGCGCCGCTGCCTCCGGCGAATCCGGTGCAAACGGGAACTGAGCTGACACTGCTGCTGCTGATGCTGCAGCTTCTGCTGACGTGGCAGATGCTGACATGGCACGAGTTGAATGGAACGTGGAGAGAGAGGTGATACTCGTAGGAAGAGCGAAATGGGAGGAAGAGGAGGAGGAGGAGGAAGAGGGAGGGGAGGTGAGGGAGGAGGAGAAGGAGGGCGAGGAGAAGAGGTTTCGGAACAGCTGGGCCACGAGCTCCTTGACGTCGGATGGAGAGGGGCAGGAGGCGAAGAGGGGGAAGTAAGCGAACGCCTCCTCCTCGTGTGGCCTGGTTTGATTTGGGTTGAAGTTTGGGGATTGGGGATTGGGAAAGGTACATTGGGACAGGTGGGCTATGAGCTCCTTCCCATCAGATGGGAAGAAGCAGGAGGCGAAGAGTGGGAAGTAGGCGAATGCCTCCTCCTCGTGTGGCCTGGTGGGGTTGGGGTGGGGTTTGTGCAACGAGGTTGGTGTTTCAACCCTTCCTCGAACAGAGCAGGCAGGCCAGAGCTTGAAGCAACGAAAAAGGCCAACCCAGCTCAGCTATCAGCCTACTGTGCCGGAGGGAAGACGATGCAAGGACCGTTGTGGATGAGGAAAGTGTACACCATAAGGACCGTTGTGGATGAGGAAAATGTACACCATAAGGACCGTTGTGGATGAGGAAAATGTACACCATAAGGACCGTTGTGGATGAGGAAAATGTACACCATGAGGACCGTTGTGGATGAGGAAAGTGTACACCATAAGGACCGTTGTGGATGAGGAAAATGTACACCATAAGGACCGTTGTGGATGAGGAAAATGTACACCATAAGGACCGTTGTGGATGAGGAAAATGTACACCATAAGGACCGTTGTGGATGAGGAAAATGTACACCATAAGGACCGTTGTGGATGAGAAAAATGTACACCATAAGGACCGTTGTGGATGAGCGAGAGGAAGGCGCGGAGGACGGGGAAATGGGGAAAAGAAGCTTCTGAACTGAACTCAACCTACCTTGCAGGAGGGAATACACCATAAGGACCGTTGTGGATGAGCGAGAGGAAGGCGAGGAGGAGGGGTAGGAAGAAGGGAGGGAAAAGGAGCTGCAGAGCTCAACTGAACCTACCTTGCAGGAGGGAAGACGCCGTAAGGGCCATTGTGGATGATCAAAAGGAAGGCGCAGAGGACGGAGGAAGGGGAGGGGGGGGAAGAGGGGGTGCTGAACTGGATTCAACCTACCGTGCAGGAGGGAAGACGCCGTAAGGGCCGTTGTGGATGAGGGAGAGGAAGGCGAGAAGGAGAGCAGCGTCCGCCTGGCCGTTCACGAGGCTGAGCGTGAGGCGCGCAAACAGCAGCTTCGCCTTCAGGTGGTCACCGTTTAGCAGTGGTTGTATGCGGTCCAGATAGCTGGTGGGTGTGGGGGGAAAGAGGGGGATGGGAGGAAGGGATAGTGAATTCGTCCGCCTGGCCATGCGAGAGGCTGGGCATGAGGCGGGGGAAGAGCAGCTTCTCTTTCAGGTAGTCTCTTGGCTGGATATCAACAATTTCTCAAAACTTCTCAAAACTCTAACTAGCACTGTTACAAAGAACCTCGGGCGTCGAAAAGATTTCCAGACGTGTTTCTAACGAACGACAAACCTCAGGACTGCCTGAATTCAGAGCTTTGAGGTAGACTGCCTATCTACCTAAGGTAGACTGCCTTTCAGCGAACAGAACAACGAACCTCAGGATCTGATCGACGCTTTCTGGGGTTGGTGCGGAGGTGTCCAGAGACATGCCACGTGGCAGCATCTGAATGGCCCGCAGCGCCAGCATGCGCGGATGTGTGGCGATGGACGGGAAGCGGGCGGCAAGAGACTGTAGCTGCGGGGGAGTGAGGATATGCAGAATCGGGAGGCTGGAGGGGGAGGGGAGGAACATCAGGAAACGGGGGAAGAGCGAGGGAGGGGGGGGAAATTGGGGGGGGGGGGGGAGAAATGAGCAGGGGGAGGATGAGGGGAAACATGAGGTGGAAGGGGGCAGGGAGAAGCGGGTAGGGAAGGAAGGGAGAGAAAATACAGGTGGGAAGGGCGACTTGAGAGAATAGAGATAGGAAGAGGGCTACAGAGAATAGAGCAGGGAGGGTGGGTGCTACAGAGGAGGATATGTGGACTAGGGAAATAATGGGATGCGAAGTAAAATAGGAGACATTTCTAAGGGGAAAAATTAAAACAAACAAAGCAACAAACACCGACACAGTTTAAACGCCTGTGGCGAGGTATCTCAGAAGGCGATGCCCTGTGAGTTGAGTTAGTGGGGCCTACCTAAGACGGCTAAAGGCGTCCGGCTCATCGCGCTCTAGCCGCTGCAGCTCCCATGCCACGGCGTCCTCTAAGCGGGGCAGCGATGGCCGCCACACATGCTGGTGGGAGAGAGGAAGCAGGGTAAGGGGGAGGGGGAACAGGGGAAATCGAGGAGCACAGATTTGGTCTTCTCCCATCGCTGCAGCTCCCATGCCACGAGGTCCTCTAGTCGGGGAAATGAAGGGCGACGCACATGCTGGGGGGAGAGGTGGGGAGAGGAAGGAAGGAAAAAAGGGGAAGCAAGAGGAGGCTGGTTTGGTCTTCTCCCATCGCTGCAGCTCCCATGTCACTGCGTCCTCTAGCCGGGGCAGCGAGGGGCGCACATACACTGGGAGATGGAAGAGCGGAGAGAGCACAAGGAGGGGGATACGGAGGCATCGTTGCAGCTGCCATGCATGCAGTGCAGCCATGGGGGGAGAGAGGCGTCTCCTATGCCGGGTCATGATGGGCGACGCACCTGTTGGGTAAGAGCAAAAAGGGAGGAAATTGGTGGGGGGGAAAGGGAGAGCGAGGGTTCAGGAGGGGAAGAGAAGGGAGGGGCAGGGCGAGGACATGCTGACGTGGACAGGCGGGAGACAAAGCGGTCAATGCAAGCAAGAGAGGGAAGAGGAGAGGGAACAAGTCGAGTGGCTTCATCCCATCTTCCCCTCCATCCCCCCCTCTTTATCCTCTTCCTCTCAATTCTTACAATCCCTCACCCCCCTTCTCCACTCCCCTTTTCCCCCTCAACCCACCCCCCTCCCCTCCCCTCTCTCACCATCAGCAGCTGCTGCACTGACTTCTTGTCACTCGGTTCTCGCAACCAAAACGGAACCTTCTGCGTACCTTCCCCCCGACTCCAGCCTCCCCCTCTCCCCTTTATCCACCCAACCGCTCCCCCCACCCACCCAGTAGCTTGCCCCACCAGTGCCCCCACCCCCACCCCCCGCCCAGACGCTCCCCCAAACCCTTCCCCCTGCCCCTCCGCCTCCCCCTTTGCCAGCAGGCGCGCCAGCACTGGCGCAAGCCCCCCCTCCTTGAGCCCCTGCCACCCATGCCGCTGCCACGTCAGCTCCAGAAGAGACAAATGGGTGGCGAACTCGGGCGGCAGAGTGGAAGGGAAGGAGGAGAGAGCAGATGCTCCACCCGTGCCAGAATCACCTGAAACACCACCTGAACCACCTCCTGCAGCAGTTGCTGCTGCCACACCAGCTGTTTCACTCCCTGCTGCAGCTGTGGCAGGTGCTACAGCCAGCGCTACAGCCGCCACTGCCCCCTCTGCATCCTCTATCGTCACATCAAAGGCCGGCACTGTCGCGGGGGCAGCAGGCGCTGCGGCGATGGCAGCAGGAAGGGCGGTGTTGAGCGTCACATTCAGCTCCTGATTGGTCGCCAGCCGCACGAGGGGTGGAGGGCGAGAGCGGGGTTGCGAAAGGGGGGAGGAGAGAAAAGGGGCATTGGTGAATTGTTGGGCGGGGATAAGGGCGGATGAAGGCGGAAGAAAGGGGGAAAAGAGTGGGCAGAAAGGGAACGCAGCATGGGCGATGCGGGGGCGTGTGGGAAGGGATGGGGGAAGCCTTGAACTGAACGCAAAATAGACATGACAAACGTTAAGCGAATCCACCAAGAAAGAAAGAAATAAGTAGAAAAAAACAGCACGAACAAAACAAACAAACAAGCAAGCAAGCAAGCAAACGGATAACAAACTGCACGAGTACCATCGCCATTCGCTGCAATAATGTCAACGTCGCAACATACTTTTTAAAAAACTTCAAACCCGCAATACCTTTATAATGATGTCAACGCAGCAACACACCTTCTTTATAATGTCAACGCACGAGTCGCGGTCGCCAGAGTCCCAGAGCGCCACTGCGAGCCGCAGCTCGAGCTCCTGAATAAGACGAACCAGGCCACCCGGCCCGAGAAACGCGGCGTCCGTCGTCACGCTCGAGAGCTTCGGCGGCGCGTCGAGAGACTTGAGCGCCGACTTGCGCAGAGGTGCGGGGGAGGGGGAAGCCGGGTCCGCGGACGCGGGCTTGAGACCCGCGGCTTCGCGGAGAGTGGCGATAAGGGCGCGCGCCTCCGCGGCGTCCCCCGCCTCGATGGCGCGCAGCGCTGGTCGGGGGAAGCACGAAACGGGGGAGGGGGATGGGGAGGGGCAGCGGGAAGGGGAGGGCGGAGGAGGCGGGGAGCGCAAGCATGTTTACACACCAGGAAACGCGGAGTAGGTATGTGAAGGGGGGTACGGATGCAGAAGAATGAAAAGGGGAGCTTTAATGGTCGCTGATAGTGGTAGTGCCTCGGAACGAGGGAGGAACGAGCGATAATCGTCGCATATGGGATGGCAGTGACTGTACCGCTGAAAAATAGGTGGAGGAACCTTCCGGGAACGAGCGACGAGACAACCGCGGCACGGTCGGGCGAGAACGCGAACCGCTCGAGGGTCTCGAGCCACTGATGCTTCGCCACGTGCAACTCCATTGTCGACCGACGTTCGCGGAACCAGAATAACAAGTGTACAAAGTATATCGAGCACGGGACTAAGGTTGCTATTTATCAACACTTGGACGGTTACCTCAAGAACTTAAAGAACCGAGGAAATCAGCCAACGCGACGATGAGCATATTCAAGATTCTCCCTCATTACCTTGACTGACTAGCAAATCACACATTAGATTTGAATACGCAGCTATTTGACAGCAGACTCGAATTTGTTCGATGTCGAATTTCCTCCATGTCATTACTCTCCCTTAGTAGGATGCAGAAAGGTTCCGCTGCTAAAATGCGCGTTGCAGAAAGTTACAGCACGGTAATTTGACATGAAAACTTCTTGTTCGCGCGGGAATTCGCGTTATCCACTCCCCCTCCAGCAGCTCTGGCGCTGACATGACTTGATGACGAAACTTGGGTTACCAGCTCAGGGGAGTGGCATAGCGTGCCTGAAGAGAGAAACCGGTTCGCGAGTCGCGACATTATTTTCGTCGATCAGTGCTCGTCTCCAGCACAAGACCTTAGCCGCGGAGCGGCGGGAGGGCGAGCCGACCTGAAAGACTGGCGGAGATCTGAATCGTAGCGCGGATGGGGGGAGGTTGCGTGTAGCACGACGTGGAGGAAGGTGCAATGCAATTACTGAGAACGCTTGTAGCGGAGTTATAGTTTCTTGGCAAGCAAGCAAAGGAAATTCGATTGTAGCATTTCGATACCCGAAAGGATGGTAGTACTCAGTAGAATTTCAGTATCTCCACAGGCTGATTCATAAGTTTGATGCTATGTGTAAGGACAATTTCAAAATTCTTTACTACGCACCTGGATAACGTGTGCAGCACCTGACAGTTCTTCTCCCGTTACTGATTAACGGTGCTCGCCACTTGGTGCGTCATATTTTCCAAACCACGCACTCCTATACTAGGCTTACACTTCAGGACTAGCCCCAAGCTCTCAGCGTTGCACTAGCAAGCTCACAAGCCCCTGTTACCGTTTGCATGTTTTTCTATAAAGTCTCGCTCATGGGAAAAATTGCGTGACGTGGCCGATCTCGCGCTTTTCTCAATCCTGTCGACCAGGCTCGCACCGCAGGTAGGGCGACCGTGTGAGAACTAGGTGAAACGGGAATGAGTGGATTAGGTCAGGGATGGGGGTACAAGCAAGAGTGTCGACGTGAATTGTGTACCCCCTAAGGCTAGCCCCTATATAGCCTAGATAACATTGAACGCATATGTTTTGACTGGCCGAACCCCCCGCAAATGAATCGAGCTACATGCGCTTCAAGGACGTCAGTGCCAGGAGCACACTCACCCCCGACGGACGGAGGACTGGCAGACGCAGACTCAGCAATAAGAGCAGTGGCGTAGTCTAGACGGCAGGCAGCAGCAAAGTCAAGCAGCTCAGCAACGAGAGCAGACTCAAAAGAAGGGTCAATGACAGCAGTGGCGAGGAGACGAGAGACAGTGGGACTGGCAGCACAAGCGCGGTCAGACTCAGGGTCAGGGACCTCAGGAAGAGAGGACTCAAGAGGAGTAGGCAGAGGAACACGCGGTGGAATAGAGGAAGGACGAAGTGCCATACCTGCAGAAGAAGAGGAGACGGTGGATGATGTCAGGGACATCACCGAGGAGCAGCTTGAGAAGTGGGGGCAAGTGGACTTGGTGGTGGCGGGATGGGAGTGCCAGGGATATTCCAGAGCGGGAGAAGGGAGTGGGATGGAGGACCTACGGGGCGCATCCTTCAGGGACCTGCGGAAGGTGCTGGAGATGATACACAGGAAACAAGGGGAGGTACTCTACATCCTGGAAAACGTGGACTTGGCCCAAGACAAGATAGAGCCACTGAAGCTAGCCTTTGCCAAGATAGGGGCAGCGGTGGGAAGGGGAGTGGCAGCAGACGTAGCACAGCTGGGATCCAGAGCGCATCGGCCCAGGAGATACTGGCAAAATGGGGTATCCGAAGCTTGTCTGCGACACTCACTTGCACAGATGCAGAGGCCGGAGCCGAGGTTGGTGAGCGGCATTCTGGGGCCCAACAGATTGCCGGCACAAGTGAAGGTCCTGGATCACCCCTCACAGTACCAGTGCAACGAACCGGGAAAGCCGAGGCAGGCGCTGCCCACCCTGGTAGCATACGAAGGGGCCAGGGGTTTTTGCATGGAAGGAGAGCTCCCAGGGCCAGACATGGTATATAACATAAAGAGTGGGAAGTGGGAAGAGCCGAGCGCGAGGGAGAGAGAAGCAGCCATGGGTCACCGATGGGACGCAACGGCGCATCCAAGGGTGACCGAAAAGCAGAGGAGGGCAGCGATGGGGCGAGCCATGGATCTCAATGTCATGAGCTGGCTCATCAAGACAATCCGCATGCACCTCAAGACGAAGGAGGTTCAGAGGGAGATAGAGATAAGCGAGAGGTATCAGGAAGACCTGGAAGTGGAGAGGAGGAGGCAGCTGCAAGCCATAGAAGAGCAGCAGGAAGCAAGGATCAGAGAAGGATGGGCATTCATGGCCCTAGAGTGTGAAGGGGCCGAGGAGCAAGAGCAAGAGAAAGAAGGGGTGGCGAGAGCTGAAGCCGTGAAGGAGAAGGAGAAGGAGAGGGCACCAGAAGAAGACTGGCCCATAGGCGAAGGAATGGGGGCAAAAGCAGATGAGGAACTGCAAAAAGTACTAAAGCAGTACAGGCAGACCTTTGCTTACACTCTGCAAGAACTGGGAGAGTGCAAGACACATGTCATGGAGATTAAGCTGACCTCAGAGATTGCCATCTACCAGAGAAAGAGGCGGATGGGCCCGGGGGATATAGATATATGTATGGAAAAGTGTGCGGAGCTCCTGGAGACAGGGCTGATACAACGCTCAGAGAGTGACTACACAGCGGCGACAGTGGTGGTGGCTAGGAAAGACCTCATAGGGGAAGTGTCTGCAAGGAGACTGTGCAGGGACTACAGGGGTTTAAACAAAGTGACAGTAGCAGACAGGTACCCCATGCAGTCCGCCGAAGAGATCTTTGACAAGCTACAAGGAGCAGTAGTGTTCCCTACACTGGATCTCAGGCAAGGGTTCAACCAGATACCCATCAAAGAGGAGGACCGCAAGAAGACGGCCTTCCATGGGCCTGACGGACTGTACGAATGGAGGTGCATGCCATTTGGCATGAAGAATGCCTCGGCGCTATTTCAGAGGGTGATGGATGCAGTACTGAGGAATGTGCCAGCAGTAGCCTGCTACATTGACGACGTCATAGTCTTCAGTCCTAGCCCAGAGCGGCACGTCAAAGACATACAAGCGACACTAGATTCCATCAGAGAAGCAGGACTGACCTGCCACCCAAAGAAGTGTGAGTTCAGCGGCAGTTCAGTGAAATACTTGGGCTTCGAGGTGCAAGGGGGAAGGATGAGCATCCAACAAGCCAATGTAGAAGTGGTAAACCGAGTGCCTGCACCCAAGGACAGGACGACGCTCAGGGCGGTGCTGGGCTTCTTGAACTACTACCGCAAGTTCGTGCCCAACTTCAGCCGAACGGCAGCAGCACTAAATCGGCTGCTACGAGAAGATCAGGCTTGGCAATGGGGAGAGGTAGAGCAGGGGGCACTGGAGGCGCTGCTCAATGTGGTAAAGACGGCCTCAGTGTTAACCCTGACCCCTTTGTGCTCTACACCGACTGGAGCAGCACCGGCATGGGAGCTATACTAGGCCAAGAAAGGGAAGGGCAGGAGATAGTAGTAGCCTTCTCCAGCAGGAGTTGCAACCCCGCAGAGGCCAACTACTGCTCCTACGAGGGAGAAGGACTAGCAGCGGTGTGGGGGGTCACCCACTTCCGCGTATACCTGCAGGGCAGGCCCTTCACCCTGGTGACAGATCACCAACCCCTAACATGGCTAATGACGAACCAGACACTCACATGCCGAAACGCCAGGTGGGCGATGCGGTTGCAAGAGTACGAGTTCACCATCCAGCACAGACCTGGGAAAACGCTGCAGTACGTGGACGGACTGTCCAGAAACCCTCCACCGAGCAGCCCAACCACGTGTTTGGTTGCATTAGCTAGAGAGATAGACGGGGAAGGAGCCATGAAGAAACAGGATCGAGGGACAGAGGACGTGTGGGAAGATGAAGAAGTGCTGAGCTGGATTCAGGGGAAAACAACAAAAGCAGAGCCAGCCAGAGAGTGAGCAAAGGCAAGAGGAGTGCACTACAGGTGGTACCAAGAGCAGCTGCAGAAGAACACGAAGGATGGGTGGAAATTGGTGCCGAGGAAAGAAGAAAGGGGAGAGATAATAGCCAAGGTGCACAGAAGGCTGGGGCACTACGGAAGCCTGAGAACCAGCCAGCTAGTAGAGACAGGATGGTGGTGGGCTGGAATGAGGAGAGACATAAAAGAATGGGTGGCGTCGTGCGAGCTGTGCAGCAGGAACAAGGCGGAGCTGGACAGGGGAAGAGAAGAGTTGCAGTCACTCCCCATACGAGGATTGGGGTTCAGGTGGTCTCTGGATCAGGCAGGAGAGATGCCACTGAGCCGCAGAGGAAAGAGATATATGCTCATCATGATAGAGCATGGGAGCAAGTGGGTAGAAGTGAAGGCTCTGCCCGGCAAGAACTCGGCAAAGATAGCAGAGGCGTTTGAAGAGCAAGTCCTCACCAGGTTCGGCGCGTGTGGAGAAGTCCTGACAGATCAAGGGACGGAGTTCATGGGAGAGTCCGAGAAGCTGCTACAGGCAACAGGGATCACATACAAGAGGACATCACGATACCACCCCCAGAGTGATGGGCTCACAGAGAGGTTTGTCCAGACCATGAAGCGGGGACTGAGGGCATACAGAGAGAAATTCAAGCGCGACTGGGACTCACGACTGCCATGGGTTGCAGCAGGCTACAGGTTCAGCAAACAGGCGGCAGTGAAGGACATATCTCCCTACTACCTCCTACTGGGAAGAGAAACCATACTGCCAGTAGATGCGCCGAAGCTGCTAACAGGAATAGTGACAGTGGCGTCAGAAGA